TACAATTTTTTATTTTTCAGTTGTATATTTTTACGATTTCTTTATTTCCCAAATATTCGGTTTTTAATTAATCAATTGTCAGCTTTCAATTTTTCAGTTTTACATTTTTACAATTTTTGAGTGCCTCAATTACTCTCTTTTTCTCAATTTTCGCTTTTATAAATCTTCGTATTTTCAGTTATTCAATTTTCGATTTTTTATTGTCCGATTTTTGTTTTGTTTCGATTTACAATTTCTTTTTATTTTAATTTTCAAAATTTCAGTTTTCAATTCCCAAGTTTTTGAGTTTACACTTTCATAATTTTTTTTATATTATCTGAGTTTTCAATTATTGAGTTTTCATTTTTATAATTCTTCGTTTCAAATTTTTTTCCCTTTTTTTAGTCATTCAATTTTTGATTTTTCGATTATCTGAATTTCATTGTTTCGATTTTCCAATTTTTGATATTAATTTATCAAAATTTCCATTTCCAATTGTCCGGTTTTTCAGTTTTATAATTTCGCAATTTTATAGTCATCTGAGTTTACAACTTTTTTATTTTAAAATTATTGGATTTTCAATTTTATATTTTTTACGCAACTTTTGACTTTTACAGTTGAATAATTTTTCGCTTTTACAATTATCCAGATTTTAATTTAGTAATATTGCAATTTTTTATTTTTCAGTTTTATATTTTTACGTTTTTTCGATTTCCCAATTATCGGTTTTCAGTTTTCAATTTTTTATTTTTCAGTATCAGATTTTACAATTTCTCAATTTTTGAATTTTTCAATTTTACAATTTTTGGATGTCTCATTTATTCGCTTTTTATTAATGAAATTCTCAGTTTTCAATTTTAAAATTATAGGATTTTTCAGTTTCGTAATTTTGCAATTTTTTGATTTTTCAATGTCAGATTTTCAAATTTTTCAATTTTTCGTTTTTGGAATCTTCCGATTTTCAATTCTTCCGTTTTTCATTTTCCAATTGTTCGTTTTTTCAATTTAATAATTTTTCAATTTTTCATTTGTACAGTTTAATAAATTTTCTATGTAGTTTATAATTATTCGATTTTTAATTGTTCAAAATTTCAATCTTAATTTTTCAGTTTAATTATTTTATTATTTGTTGGTTTGTGAATCCATTTTCAATTTTATAATTCTTTGTTTTTAAAGTTTTCCCTTTCAATTATTCAATTTTTGATTTTTTAATTATGCGAATTTCATTGTTTCAATTTCCTAATTTATTGATTTTAATTTGTCAAAATTTTCATTTTCCAATCTTCCAAGTTTTTGGTTTTTGAGATTTACAGTTTTGCAATTTTTCGATTTTTCAATTTTGTAATTTTTCTATTTTACTATTATCGGGATTTTTCAATTTTCTCAGTTTTACATTTTAAGAATTTTTCAATTTTACATTTATCCAGTTTTTCAATTTTGTAATTTTGCAAATTTTTGATTTTCAGTTTTATAAGTATTTTTATATTTTTTCTCAGTTAATTATCTGGTGTTTTATGTTTTAAAATTTTTGATTTTTCAATATCAGATTTTCCAATTTCTCGAGTTTTAAATTTTTTGGTTTTGTATTTTTCATTTTTGTTCTATTTTTCAGTTTTTTTATTTTAATTTTTCAAAATTTCGATGTCCAATTTTCCAAGTTTTTGGTTCTTCAATTTTATAGTTTTGCAATTTTACAGTCACCTGAGGTTTGAATTTTTTGATTTAAAAATTATTGGATTTTCAATTTTATATTTATGCAATTTTTCACTTTCCCAGTTTAATAATTTGTCAATTTTACAATTATCCACTGTTTTAGTTTTGTGATTATACAATTTTTTATCTTTCAGTTTTATATTTTTACGTTTTTTTGATTTCCCAAATTTTCGGTTTTTAATTAATCAATTTTCAGTTTTCGATTTTTGATTTTTCAGTATCAGATTTTACGATTTCTCAATTTTTCAATTTTTCATTCAACTTTTAGATGTTTCATTTATTCGCTTTTTATTAATGAATTTCTCAATTTTCAATTTTATAATTCTTCATTTTTTCAGTTATTCAATTTTTGATTTTTTGATGGTTTGATTTTTGTTTGTGTTGTTTCGATCTTCCAATTTCTTGATTTTAATTTTTCAAAATTTCGATTTTTAATTTTCCAAATTTTTGATTTTACCATTTCATAATTTTTCTATTTTACAGTTATCTGATTTTTCAATTTTTCCATTTTCAATTTTATATTTTTGCAATTTTTTAGCTTTACAGCTTAATTGTTTTTCAATTTTACAATTACACAATTTTTCGATTTCCAAATTGTCTGGTTTTAATGAACCAATTTTTCAATTTTCGTTTTTGTAATTCTTCGTTTTATAAATGTTTCCTTTTTTTCAGTTACTTAGTTTTTAATTTTTCAATTATCTGATTTCATTGTTTCGATTTTCCAATTTTTTGATTTTAATTTTCATAATTTTTCTATTTTACAGTTATCTGATTTTTCAATTTTTCCATTTTCAATTTTATATTTTTGCAATTTTTTAGCTTTACAGCTTAATAGTTTTTCAATTTTACAATTACACAATTTTTCGATTTCCAAATTGTCTGGTTTTAATGAACCAATTTTTCAATTTTCGTTTTTATAATTCTTCGTTTTATAAATGTTTCCTTTTTTTCAGTTACTTAGTTTTTAATTTTTCAATTATCTGATTTCATTGTTTCGATTTTCCAATTTTTTGATTTTAATTTTTCAAAATTTCGATTTCCAATTTTCCAACTCTTTAAATTTTCAATTTCACTATTTTGCAATTTTTCAACTTTTTAATTTTGTTAGTTTTCTCTTTTACAGTTGTCTGATTTTTGATCTTTTCAGTTTTAAAATTATAGGATTTTTCAGTTTCGTAATTTTGCAATTTTTTGATTTCTCAATGTCAGATTTTCAAATTTTTCGGTTTTGGAATTTTCCGATTTTCAATTCTTTCGTTTTTCATTTTCCAATTGTTCGTTTTTTCAATTTAATAATTTTTCATTTGTACAGTTTAATAAATTTTTTATGTAGTTTATAATTATTCGATTTTTAATTGTTCAAGATTTCAATCCTAATTTTTCAGTTTGATTATTTTATTATTTGTTGCTTTGTGAATCCATTTTCAATTTTATAATTCTTTGTTTTTAAAGTTTTCCCTTTCAATTATTCAATTTTTGATTTTTTAATTATCCGAATTTCATTGTTTAATTTAATTTTTCAAAATTTCGTTTTCCAGTCTTCCAAGTTTTTGATTTTTGAGATTTACAGTTTTGCAATTTTTCGATTTTTCAATTTTGTAATTTTTCTATTTTACTATTATCGGGATTTTTCAATTTTCTCAGTTTTACATTTTAATAATTTTTCAATTTTACATTTATCCAGTTTTTTAATTTTGTAATTTTGCAAATTTTTGATTTTCAGTTTTATAAGTATTTTTATATTTTTTCTCAGTTAATATCTGGTGTTTTATGGATCAATTTTCAGTTTAAAATTTTTGATTTATTATTTATAATTATTCGATATTTTTACGTTTTTTCGATTTTCCAATTATCGGTTTTCAGTTTTCAATTTTTTATTTTTCAGTATCAGATTTTACAATTTCTCAATTTTTGAATTTTTCAATTTTACAATTTTTGGATGTCTCATTTATTCGCTTTTTGTTAATGAGAATTTCTCAATTTTCAATTTTTTGATTTTTCAATGTCAGATTTTCAAATTTTTCAATTTTTCGGTTTTGGCATCTTCCGACTTTCAATTCTTCCGTTTTTCATTTTCCAATTGTACGTTTTTTCAATTTAATAATTTTTCATTTGTTCAGTTTAATAAATTTTCTATGTAATTTATAATTATTCGATTTTTAATTGTTCAAAATTTCAATCTTAATTTTTCAGTTTAATTATTTTATTATTTGTTGGTTTGTGAATCCATTTTCAATTTTATAATTCTTTGTTTTTCAAGTTTTCCCTTTTAATTATTCAATTTTTGATTTTTTAATTATCCGAATTTCATTGTCTCAATTTCCTAATTTATTGATTTTAATTTTTCAAAATTTCGTTTCCCAATCTTCCAAGTTTTTGATTTTTGAGATTTACAGTTTTGCAATTTTTCGATTTTTCAATTTTGTAATATTTCTGTTTTACTATTATCGGGATTTTTCAATTTTCTCAGTTTTACATTTTAATAATTTTTCAATTTTACATTTATCCAGTTTTTCAATTTTGTAATTTTGCAAATTTTTGATTTTCAGTTTTATATTTTTATATTTTTTCTCAGTTAATTATCCGGTATTTTATTGATCAATTTTCAGTTTAAAATTTTTGATTTTTCATATCAGATTTTCCAATTTCTCGATTTTTCAATTTTCATTTCAGTTCAAAATTTGAATTTTAATTTTTCAAGTTTTTTATTTTTCAGTTTAATTATTATTTTACATTTACATTTCGTTTTTAAAGGAATCCGATTCTTCAATTTTTCGATATTACAGCTTTTTGATTTTTCAGTTTTACAATTTTACAATTTTTGATATTGTAAATTGTATAATTCTTTCGTTTTGATTTTAATTTCTCAAAATTAATTTTAAGTTTTTGATTTTTCTATTTTTACAATTATATGATTTTTCAATTTTCGTTTTTTTTGAAATTTGAAATGATTAAAAAAAAAGAAGAAATAATAAAATCGTCAACAAACAGGAGGAAATCGCTACCTTTTCACATTCAATCCTGTCAAAGAAAATTATGTTAAAGAGCCTGCGGACAGTTGTAAGCCATCTAAGAAAGATTAATAGCCAGTAATCGGCTATACGCAAAGATAAAATAATCCCATTGTGTTCACGTCACGTACCAACATTCAAAGACAAACAAGTTAATATTCATCACAAAAACACGCTAACAAATGTTAATTTGCCATCCAACTGACGATGCATCATCTGTCTTACATTACTTACTTAATTACTTTTCACCTTTAATTGATTAACGTAATTTTTCCATCCTTTTTTAAATTTAATTAGTGTGTTCCTCACACATGGTACTTATCAATCGACACCCAACTGTACCTAGCAACGCCACTTCTAATCTACTGTCTAAGAAAAAAACCGAAGCTCACCTTCTTAGGAATCACCTTGATTTGTATCTTAAGCATGCTCTACACTTGGCACGTAGTAGTCAAAAACAACTACGGATTCATAATGTACTGGGAGTAAGTAAAACGTACTTAACACTCACAAAATACTAAAATAAATTGTAGCGTTGGTGTTGAAGGCATCTACTTTTCCACCATCAGTCGACTGCCTGCATGGTTCGTCGGGACCTTCTTCGGCTACGTGCTTTACCGAGACTCGCACAAGAAAATCCGAATTTCGAAACAAGTCAATTCGGCTCTATGGGCACTGGTTTTAAGCACAATAGTTGCTCTTGTTTTTTACCACAAGATTTCATTTCAAGGGGAATACAAAGAATACATTTCTGCATTTTACCACACTTTTTGTAGGTTATTTTGGTGTTTGTCTGTTTGCTATATCATTCTGAGTTGCTGCACCGGACATTCAAGTAAGAGTTTTTCAAAAATTAATTCCACGATCGTATTATTTAAGTAAAATTTTCGTGATTTTCAGAACTTGTGGACTCTTTTTTGTCGCACCCTGTATTTATCGTAATGGGGAAACTCACTTATAGTCTTTATCTGGTACACCTGACTGTCATCTTCGTGGTGATGGCCCACAGAAAACATCTCGGGTACTTCAGTAGCTTTGAAATTGTAAGTTTGCAAGACTGAGTAACCAAATTTGACGTTTCGTTTTGTTTCAGTGGTTTGAGTTCTGTGGCCACTTTATGATAATGTTAATAAGTGCCACATTGTTATTTTTGGTGTTTGAAGCGCCTGTGTTTTCTTTCCTTAAGTTAAAAACACGCAAATACAGTAATCAAAATTATAAAAAGGTGACATAATGGCAATAAACAGTGCTACCAACTGAATGTTTTTTTATTGTCGACTTAACCAGAAGCGGATGACGAAAATGTCACAGGTTCAAATCCATCAATAGTCCTCGAACTTAAAAAAATATATTACACATAAAGAGCATTCCTGCGCTAACGATCTTCCAAAAATAACTTGGAATATTTTTTACGAATCATTGAATCTATAATTACAGTTTCAACTCTAAAGACCCCTTCACAATTTATAACCTTCATAAAAACCGAGGGGGCTACAACTTATTTTGGTTATTTTTTCGCAGACAGGCCGAACCGTTGTCCTTGACACTGGCCAGGACCTTTGCAGCCTTTTTTTCATTTCATTGTTGCAGTATTTTTAGACACAAAAAAGCTCCTCATACGGAACTGCATCATCGCCTCGCCTTATTAATGGCACGATGGCGTAATTTATTAAAAACCATTAAAGTACATTAACCATGAAACCTGTTACCTTGACTTAACAAACATAACGCTATTTGACATAATTATCATTAATAATAATTCCGAGATCCTGTACGGTCGCATCTTTTTTACATAATTTAAGCACTTAACATTCAACCAGTTTCTGTCTTAACGAAAATCCGCTTAACAGAAAAAACTAAACAAACAGTAATCGACGCTAACTGGAAATTGATTAATTTGTGGAATTGTTTAAACGGACATTTTTATTACCTTTTATTAGTATGGGAATATTAATGAAAAATTATTGCTTGCAAAATTGTTTGCAGTCGAATTAGAAAGGAGATTCGTGTATTGTGTGCACAATCTAGCAGAAATAAACAAGAAAGGATGTGGAGAAGAAGTTAATTAGGGATTTTAGGCCAATGACGTTGCTTGTTTGGTTCTTAGGAGGAATTTACTTTTTGAATTGAACGATGGTTCGAAATAGTGGCGGAATATTTATCAGATGTGGATACAATAAACTTGACATTTGGTCAGCATTTAAATATTTGGACAATAATAATAAAGAATAGATGAAATATGGCGTGTTGTGGCGTTGTCTGTGGCTTTTCTCCGCATTTACTGTTTTTGCGTTCTTCGAACGTTCGTTTGAAATAGTAAGTCATTTGCCAAAATTAGTCTTATCTTAGAAAATACTAGCCCCGCCCACCCACCCTTTATTTTCTTGAAGGGTAAGTCATTTACCAAAATCAGTTTTATCCAAGGTCCACCTTTCTCTCAGACTAGATAAAATATATATCACTGAAATGGAGGCAGGGTGGGTGGGCGGGGCTAATTATATATTCCTATGTAGAGTGGGAATGGAAACTAAGAGAACTTAGGCTGTTGAAAAAAGAAACAAAAGTACTAACCGTACTTTTTTCATTATACTATTTGCTATAAGATATATTTCTTATATCAGAAGAAAAAAAAAATGAGAGAACGGGTGGGTGGGTGGGGCTAAGTTTAACTTTTTCCTAGTCTTTTATAAGGAAGCAATAGCCCCGCCCACCCACCCCCTCGTCATTCCAGTGACTACTGTTAATATTGTTAGTAATTTGTAATTATGGATTCATTATAAATACGAGTAGTTTGATGCAGAACATATTTTTGTTAAATTAATTTGACTTTTGCAAAAAATTTAAAACAATTTTGAGTTTTTTTGGCTTTTATTGATAGACTTTAAAAAATGATCTTGGAGGTTCCACAATTTTTGAAAATTTAAAATAATCTTGGAAGCATTAGGTGTTGTCTTTGAAACAGTTTGAAACAATCTTGAAGGCCATTAAAAATTAGGTTTGAAAGAAAGTAAAACAGCCTTGGGGCTATTAACATTTTATTTTTGAAAGAATTAAAAATAAAATTTTTGGAATTATGCTGTTTTTTAAGAATTTAAAAGTATCCTAGGAAACCCTGGTGTTCTGTTTTTGAAAGAAATTTAAAGGTTTGGGGATCTTTGGTGTTTCGTTTTTGAAAAAATTTGTAAGAATTTCGGGCTGGAAATTTTGATGTTTCATTTGGTTTGAGGGCCCTTAAAGTATTATTTTCGAAAGAGAGTAAAACAACCTTGGGGGTTTTTGATATTTTAGTTCTGAAAGAGTTTTAAGAAATCTTCTATTTTCATTTAAAAGAATCTTGGTGTCTCCATGATCTTTTTTTAAGGATTTAAAAAATCTTGGAGCTCCATTGTTGAATTTTTTGAAGAAATTACAACGAATTTGGGTCCCTCTGATATTTGTATATATGTATATTTAAGAACTTGAAAGAATCTCTGGAGATCCTGGTGTTTTTGTTTTAAAATGAATTTAAAAAAAAAACCTTGTGACAGTGTGAAAGAAAAAATTTGGGGAGATCCTGATGTTTTTAAAAGGAATTAAAAGGATCTTCATGGCGTTTGGTGTTTTATTTTTGAAAAAAAATCAAAGAATCTTTTCATTTTGGTATTCCCTTGATCTTTTTTTCTTAAGAATTTGAAAAAATCTTGAGCCCCTGGTGCTGTGTTCTTCAAAGAGATTAAAATAGACTTCGGGGCTTCTCACGGTTTTTTTAATTTGAATGAATCTTGTGGGCCCTTAAAGTTTTCTGAAAGAGTTGTAAACAATCTTCATGTCTCTACTGTTTTAATTTAAGAATCTTGGTGTCCCCATAATCTTTTTTTGGAGTTTTAACTCCTTTCTTTTCGTATTACAGAACACGTATACAACACGCGCCGGAATAGAATGTTTGAACTCGGTGTCGGTGTCGGTGTCGGTGTCGGTGTCGATGTCGATATCGGTTTAATTTCAAAAGGTCTTGGACTATTTTCTTGGGAGCTTCTTAGTGTTCAACCTTTTTTTTAAGATAAAGAAAGTCTTGGAAATCCCTTATCGAAATTTTTGGAAGGATTTTTGGGTACCCCTGGGATTAAAAGGACCTCGAGATCCTTTGGTGTTTCATTTTTGAAAACATTTGAAAAAATCATGGATGCCGTTAAAGTTTTTTTTTTTTCGAAAGAGATTAAAAGAGCCTTAGAGACTTCTGATATTTTAGTTCTGAAAGAGCTGTACAAAATATTCGTCACTCTGCTATTTTCATTTAAGAATTTTGGTGTGCCCAATGATTTTTTTCAAAATAAAAAAAATCTGGAAGGTCCCATATTGAATTTTTGAAAAAGATTAAAACAATTTTGCAGACCTCCGATTTTTTTTTTAAGAATTTGAAAGAGATCTTGGGAACTTCTGATATTTTAGAATCATAGTGTCCAACCTTTCTTTGGGTACCTGATGATGTCTGGAGATCCTGGTGTTTCGTTTCAGAATGAATTCGAAAAAATCTTGAGAGATCCTGATGTTTGTGTTTTCAAAGGGGTTAAAAGGATTTTGGTCCTTTGAATATTGGGGGCTCCTAAAGTTTTACTTTTGAAATAGAGAAAAACAGACTTTGAGACCTTGAATAGTAAAAGAAACTCGTAGGTGCTATGATCTTTTTTTCAAAAATCTTGAAGGTCCCTGAAGTTTTACTTTGAAACAGATCGAAACAGTCAAAGAATTTTAAAAAATCTTCAGGTCTCTGCTGTTTTCATTTTAGTATCGTCATGTTTTTTTTTTAAGAATTTAAAAGAATCTTGGAAGTATTGTGGTTGTTTTTAAGAATTTAAAAAAATGTTAGAGTCTGTGGTTTTGTGCTTTTGAAAGAATTTGAAAGAATCTTGAAGATCCCTAAAGTTTTACTTTTAAAAGAGATTAAAACAACGGTAGAGCTGCAAATGTTTTATCTTTGGAAGAACTTAAAAAAATTCTGTTGTTTAATTTTAGAAATCGTAGCGTTCCCTTGATATTTTTTTTAACAATTTCAAAAACATTTTGGGGCACCTTGTGTTGTGTTTTTGAAAGAGATTAAAATAGCGTTCGGAGCATCTGATTTTTTTTTTTTATTATTTGAAAGAAACTCGACAGATTTTCCTATTTCGTTTTAAGAAAGAATCTTGAGATCTTTAAAGATATATGTACTTTTAAAAACGGTTAAAGGTTAAAACTAACTTAGGGGCTTCTAATATTTTAATTTTGAAAAAGTTTTAAAAAATCTTTGGACCTCTATTATTTTCATTTAAGAATATTTTTGTTTGAATGGTTTTTTTTCAAGAATTTAAAAGATTCTTGGAGTTTTCTGGTGTAGAATTTTTGAAAGAGGTTAAAATTACTTGGGTAGATGGTATGTACGACATTTTTTTTTAAGAATTTGAAATAATCTTGGGGACTCCTAAAGTTTTATTTTTGAAATAGAGTAAAACAGAGTTAGTTAGAATCTTTTTTTAGAATTTGAACGAATCTTGGGGGTCCTGGTGGATTAAAATAGCCTTCGAGGACTCCGACTTTTTTTTGTTTCAAAGAATTTGAAAATGTTTCTGAAAGGGCTGTTATAAAATTGGTGTTGTTTTTAAAAGTCTTCGGACCACGAAAATTTTATTTTCGAAAGAGCCTTAGGACTTTTGATATTTTAGCACTGCAAGAGTTTTAAAAATCTCGGGCTTTTGCTGTTTTCATTAAAGAATCTTGGGATCCCCATGATCTTTTTTGAAGAATTTCAAAAAGTTTTGTCCTTCCTTTGTTGAATTTTTTAAGACAGTTAAAACGATCTTGGTACCTCTGGTATATATATTTTTTAAAGAATTTAAAATAGTCTCTATAAGAGATTCTGATCTTTTGATTTAGAATGAATTTGAAAAAATGAATAAATTTATATCTATGACCAAGGGTTGCTGATTTAATAAGAAGTTAACTACGGCCAGGGGTCACCAACAAAATTCCTTCTCTCTTTTGAAAAAAGTTTGCCAACCACAAGACGGTAAACCAAAACTTGTCTAAAAATTTCATTCCTGCAACGCTTTCAACGATTTCGCTCATTTTTCTTTTGAATCAATTAAACAAACGATTGTTCGATATTGAGAGCACATCTTGCGAAAAAATCCTCGTAAGCATGAGCGATCACCATGATCTTTCCTCCACCGTAGTTAAATGTCGAAAGCCCGCGTTGATACAAATAACACATCCTGAATGTGTTCGAGTC